CAGAGAAACCCTGTCTCAAAACAAAAACAAAAAAATAATTACTTTCTACTTTCAATTCAAATTGTGTTTCCTATCTTAACCTTACTTCCTTGATATACCCAGACTGCTGCCAATTAGTTGATAAAATATGAATGACTACTTAGGATTTATTTTATTTTTATATTCTGTTATTTCTTTATACAATGGAGTATGAATGAAAACAAGGATCTAAAAGACCAGTATTTAATTTTCACCTGGCGGAAGAAGGAGATTAAAATAAAGGTAAACTCTAGGCTGGGAACTCCCTGACCATATTTCCCTTACTCTGCTGGGTGACTCTTTGTCCCCTTTCAGTCTCATACAGAAATAGTCAACAAAGCACTGCACATTTGAGCAGAGCACCAAGGTCCCTTGGAAGCAATAACAAAGAATACAAGGCAGGGCCTGGCCTGTCATGCGGAGCAAAGGAAGAGCACCAGAGATATGAGACATTCTCTCTGGGAGCCTGCCAGTACCCTGCTGTGTGACTTTAAGCACAGCAATTCCTGAAAAGATTACAGCAAAACTTGAATTTCATTATTTGCCATCTAGAGAGGGGAAGACCCATGGACCTGCAAGCGGTTTGCACAGACTTGAAGGCTTGCTCTGTGAGCTTATTCTGGAGGTGAGTCCCTCTCAGACGAAGGTACCTTCTACAAAACAATGTTTTTCTGGCTGCTAATTTTTTTTCTTCTCAATAAGTTCTGACTGCTTCCCTGTGTAACCTCACTTATTCTAAGGGGTTATGAAGGCAAAGGAAATATGGTATGCAAAAACATTATCAAAGGAATAATACCACTGTATTTCATAGTGTTGTACAGAGGACCAAAGGGAGGATAAGTTGACGGCATTTACAAGCACCAAACCCATGTCTCACAAGGTCCCCTCATTCAAACCTCATCCCTTTGAAATTCAGCCAGATGAAGTGAGAAAGCCATACACTGACCATTCTGCAAAACAGAGCAGCAAGTATTAAAATATTCCTCACACTGGTGACTTCTTATCAATAATACCATCAGGGCACTTCCTTTGATATACTGGCTTCTAACAAGGGTTCTAGAAACTCCAGGGCAGGGCACCTTCATTGCGAAACTGTAACAGACTTCTTTGTCACTGGCAATCTGAAATCTGGTTGCATCCTTAACAGTAAAGCTAAAACATCAGAATAACCTATTTCTAAAAGATTCGGAGTCTGAAATTTGTAAATCCACTGAACTGGAACAGTTTCCAAAGTCTTCAGTTGAGACAACAAGCAAAATTCATACCCACCAAAAAGAAAACAACAAACAAATAAACAAAAGAACCTGAAACTTTAGATTAGCTGACAGGCTCTGAGTACAGAGGCTACCTCCATTCCTCACTGTGCCTAGCAGTGACATTCCACTGGTGCTCTGTACAAAACTAGCTCCTCTTTGTAGCATTTCTACCAGGTCCTTATCCACACAGTAAGAACAAGCAGGATAGTGCAGGACTGAAAAGGCCAGTAGACATCCTTTAGCTCAATGATTTTCAACCTTCCTAATACTGTGACCCCTTGATAGAATTCCTTGTGTTGTGGTAACCCCCAACCATAAAATTATTTTTGATGCTCCTTCATAACTGTAATTTTACTACTGCTTTGAATCATACTGTAAATATCTGATATGCAGACGGTTTTAGGTAACCCCTGCAAAAGGGCCTTTGGGAGTCATAACCCACAAGTTGAGAACCACTGATCTAGCTTAAAACACCAATTGTATAAACTCAGGAATTGTTTTGTGTACTTTTTGACTCCTGGCAGTAAAGCTTAGGACCTTGCTCCTGCTAAGTACTCACTCTACTTCTGGGCTTGACCTGGCCCACCCTGCAAAGTTGTTTATCTTTTCGATGCCCTAGTTTCCTCATCTATAAAACCAAGATGCTTATACCCTCCCACACAGGGACAGACATGAAACAGTTTTGGGAACAATGTCATGAGTAAGCACTCAGTGGCTACCACTGTGAGCATTCCCTCCTGTGGGCTCTGTGGCACACTATGGCAGCATATACAGAATGTGACTATTTCCTCTGGTACACTTATCCCGCAGAGGAATGTCAAAGACCTCAAAGTGGGGACTTGGCTTTCTTCTAGTGGCATTCCAGTGCCTAACATTTTGCCTGGAACTGCTGAATGAATCACACTCCCTCCAAGTCCCTATCAACTGGCAGGTCAGAGTACAATCGGAAACTGATCTCAAGCCTGGCTTGAAGCTCTCAGAGTCTAGCCCTTCCACTTTACCTCTCAAATGCCTGCTAAAAGCAGCAATGGCTGCTTTTATATCCTGGTGATATGCCTGAAAGTTTTTTTTTTTAATTTCATTTGAGTAAGACTTCATAGGACACTGACTTCCAGTAAATCTGTAACAGCTGAGAAACACTTGCAATGACTTGCTTTACCTGGACTAGAAACCACCTGACCCCCTAAGATCACTTCCCAGAGCTCTCATAGCTATCACTAGGTGATCTGACAACTTGCTTAGGACCAGAAGTGATTTCAGATTTTCCTGAGTTTTGGAGCATTTACACAGACTTTACTAGATGAGCATCACTGACTTGAGAATCTGAACTCTAAACTACTGTGCAGCAAGCTCAGGGTGTGGTCCTCAGGCTCCACCAGGCTCTCTCTGGTTTTTGATACAGGGTAGAACAGCACTGGCTCCACCAGGTTCCTAATCCACATCAGCTCACGAAATAAAAAAGCACTCCATCCCCAAGATGAAGAAAATGCTGGTTAGAGTTAAGCAATTTGCCAAGGTCACATATCTAGTGAGGTTGCCATGCCACACAAAATACAAATCCAGAGACCATGACTATCCATCCTCCATAAGCATAAGCAACTATTACACTAATCAACCCACCCATCATCTCTCCATGCTATGGCAGATAATATGCTTTTTCCTTTTTTTAAGATTTACCGTTTTTACTCTACTTTATGTGTATGAGTATTCTTTGTGCATGAACACCAAGCGCCTTCCCTGGTAACCACAGAGGCCAAAAACATGGCATCAGATACTCTGGAACTGGAGTTACATATGGTTATGAGCCATGCAGGTGCTGGGAACTGAATTCAGGTCCTCTGGAAGAACAGTCCATGCTCTTCACCACTGAACCATCTCTCCAGCCCAACATGTCTTTCTTAAAAATGGGTTTCACCATTGCCCAGGCTGGCCTCAAACAATCTATGCAAGTACTCTGCAGCCTCACCCTACCAAGCAGCTGAGACAGGCCTGTACCGCAGAGCCCGGCTTGTCTACCTTTAGAGGACTTTCTGAACTACCCATTTCAGTGTTCTTATTCATCCTCTCAGTCGGTTGTTTCAATACATATTTACATGTATCATGGTAAGAAAGAAGGCAAGACCAGGCTCTGTCTCATACCAGCTATGTAACTATCTGCATCTTCCTGTCTGTAAACTTTAGTTAAAATGATTAAGTGAGAAAAACTAAAGTTCAACTTACCTCACATTATACTCATTCCCTTGACCAAGTGTCACCTCTCAAAAGCTAACACTATATATCACTTCCATATCACAGAAAAACTCACAGCTCTATCTGATGCTGAGTAACTAATGTTCCTCTCACAGTAGAGCTCCCTGTACAGTGACTAAGTCTGATACTGAACTGCCATACCATGCCTGACCTATATCATGCACAGGAAATGCTTGCTAGGTGACTGTAAATAACAAGTATTTATGGGAATTTAGGTAAGAAATCATTCCCAGGGCTGGAGAAACTGGTCAGCAGTTAAGAGCCAGTACTGCTACTATGGAGGATCCAAGTTCAGTTCCCAGCACCCACAATGTGCAGCCCACAGCACTGGGGGCTCCAGCTCTAGGGGATGACACAGTCTTCCTCTCTTCTGCCCTCTGTGGGCAACTGCCCTCACATGTACACAAACCCCATATGGACACATAGACATATCTTAAGAAGAATTCTTAAAAACTGGGGTTGGGGGACAAATCATTCGAAGCTGGGATTGTCCCTACTTGGTTAAATGAAGCCACCTTCAGTTGGACCATGGGAAGTATTATTAATAACAACCAGAACCTGGGAAACTTCCAGGAAGGGTAAATAAATAAATGCTTAAAGTACTTGGAAACAAATCTAAAGTGATTCGAGAGCCTACCTATCCAGAGAAAGGGCCTGTGGTGGGGGCTTTTTCAAGCTTAACTGTAAGAAGCTGGCCTGGGACCTCAGGAGCAGAGAGGCAGTGCAGGCACTATACACATTTAATAGCTGAAGGCAGGTGTGAACGCACAGCTGAAAAGGAAAAGGGCACCTGATATGCACACCCCCAGACTCCGGTAAGCTTTGGGGGGTGTAACTGAAAAAACGGGCAATTATCACCGACCAAGATTTTTCACTGCAGCTTGTGTGGCTTCTGAACATTGAGGAATAACGCACTTTATTTCTGCTCTGGTGGTTGTTCACAAGAGGGACCCACCCTTTCGGTTAGTCAAGTGAATGCCGACCTTTTAAACTGATGTGTCTGTCCGCGTTACTGTTTACATTTAGGAAGGTTGTGAACTTGGCCGTTTGGGGGTTTAATAACAAATATGGTGCTTTGCACGGAGGTGGGGACAATGACAGTTTCAAATATTTGCAGTCACTCAAATGAAGTTGTAACAGATTTCGAGGTCCCTGGTTCATCTTATAGTTTCTGGTTCGAGTTATACACCTTTTAAAACTGTAATTCTTTCTTCCCACCCATCCCCCAGTTTTATCATCCCCTGTCACTCCCATAAACAGAAAACACTGAATCCAAGTTCCCAGCAGCACTCTAGGTAGGAAAAAAATATGCGAGACTGTTGCAGGACTACCCAGGCAATGCTTTGAAAACTTGATTTCACAGGATGAAGCCGGGACAGCGGACCCTGAGGATTTCGGGCCTGAAACCGCCTGAGCCAAGGGCGCCCCCGCCCCCGCCCCCGCCCCCACACCACCAGGTCCACAGCCTCTCCTCACCTAAGTCACACACCCTGCTGTCAGGCTCGAGAAGGGCCAGAAAATGGATGCTCCCGGGCTACCGAGCACGGCCCTGACGGGCGCCGCTGGGCAACGCGGGCAGCGGGGTGCTGAGGAGCCGCAGGGTCCCGCGGGCGAGGGGGCGGCGGCTGGGGCAACCTTTACCTGAAGCTGCTTTCACACTACGGGCCGCCTCGCCCAGGACACGTCCCTGAGGGAGGCCCCGGCTCCCCAACGCCTCCCGGCCCCTGCACCGAACCCTTCGCCCACGAAGTCCTCGGGGACCGGCAATCCTACCGGCCGGCTCGGCTGCCGCGCCCCGGGCTTGCCCTCATGACCCCGCCGCTCCGCGCCGCCGCCGGCCGGCAACAACAGCTCTGTTACCCTGAGCCGCACCACGACCCGGAACCGCAACCGGCATACCGGAAGTCCCTGATCGGGAAGGCGCCTCTGGCTGGGGACGCAGTGCGCAAGCCCCAGAGCCAGGAACGAGGAGCCGCGGCCTCCCGGGGGGCGGGGCAAGGGGAGGGATTTGTTGAGTGCCTCGCGCATGCGCGCTGCCCTAGGCCGGTCTGGAACAGATGAACTGACCTCGGTCTACCCTTAATTGTAGGGCTTTCCGTAAGCTATTTCTTCTTAATTTTACAGGAAAAAGTCTTCATCTTAAACTCCAAGTCAGAAAGAAGAGTTCACTGCAACTATTATTTGCTAGATGGGTACGGTATCAAACTGCTTTTTAAATTCCTATCTAAACACCCCGATTAGCACAGCTCTCAGACCTCATCAGAGAAGTCTCTTTCTGCAGTAGACGTCGGTTAGTAAGAAACTCAAGACTGGCCAAAATGCAGAGGTGAAAGGGCTATGGAGTGCTCACCCACAAGTGGGCCCATCACACCTCCACTCTGGAGAACGAGCCAGAGGTCTGGAACAAAGAGATCTTATAGACATGACAGGCTCTGCATTCATGAATTCGCAGCACCTCTGGTTACCTGCACAAGACCTACACAAGATGAAGGCAGTCAACATTGCAGAATGGAAGTAGGAGGAACTCGAGCGCCGATTCTTAGATGAGAAGCTGCTGTCAGTTAGTGACCACTGTAGGGAAGGAGAGTCCTTTTACCTTACGGGTGTGGCCCCTGGTAGATCAACCATCTCCAGTGGATGGCCCCACACTCAGGAGTATATGGGCAACACAAAATGAAATCAAAACAGTTTTTGAACAGGGAGGTTAGTCAGGAATTTGGAAGAGAGTAGGGGTGGATGTTCAAGATATTCTGTGTGTATGTGTGTATGTATGTATGGAATGGTAAACATTTAATTTCTCTTTAAAAAGTCAAATACCAATTCTAACTTTCTGTGAGTCTTTGTATGCTCCACCTTCTCTCGATCGATAACAGTAGTTCCAACTTCTGACTATTGCTATAAGAATCAAATAGGTTGGTTGATATATGGGAAACACCAGCACAGCGCCCAACACATCATAAAAATGTTAACACTCTCATCCACAAAGTGATGATAATAACCATGTTAAGGACTGGCAGGAATTTTGGGTAAGATGTAAAACATTCTGAAATGGAAATCAGTAGCAGAGGGGTGATCGCCTAGTAAATCACTTCCATGCAAGCATGAAGACCAGAGTTTGATCTCCAGGATTCAAGTGAAAATCTGCATGGGGCGGTCCACACACACAAGCCCAGAGAAACAGAGGTGGGCAGACCTCAGGGCCAGGCTGGCCAGTCAGTCTAACCTAATTGGTTGACTCTTGAGATTCACAGACGGACCCTATCTCAAAAAAAATTAAGTTGACAGAGACAGGCTAATCTTTGTGTGCTTGAGAACAGCCTGGTTTATATATCAAGTTCTAGGCCAGCAAGGATTGCACAGTGAGATTCTGTTTCAAAAAAAATAAAAAAAGAAAGAAAAAGTTTGGATGGTGTTTGAGGAAGAATCATACCTGAGATTGTCCTCTGGCCTCCATGTGCACACCTACACACACACACACACACACACACACACACACACACACACACACACCACAGCACAAAAGGGGAAGTCATGGTGAAGACAGGGTATAAATTATGCGATGCTAATGATGCTAGTGTTCGCCTCCTTGAGAAATTGTCTGGGAAGCCTCTAAAAAATTCATTTCAGCAAGCCAGGTGTGATGCCAAAGTTGGTGTAACCCCTGCACCTGGGAAGCTGAGGTAAGGGGATCAGGAACTGAGCCCGCCTGAGCTATGCAGCAAGACCCCGTCTTTTAAAAAAGGACAAGCCATGCTTAGTGGCGCACACCTGTAATCCCAAAATTCAGGGAGGCAGAGGCAGGCGGAGCTCTGAGTTCAAGGCCAGCCTGATCTACAGAGTGAGTCTGGGATAGCCAGGACTTTAATCCCAAACCATGAAGATAGTTTGTAGAAGGACACATCGTTATTTGAAAATGATGTCTACTTAAGGGGCAACAAAATGACAAATCAGAGAAAGATTTGGCGAAATAGGATATGCCCAACTCTCACTTGAACAGAGAGGAAAGAGAAGTGACCTAAGAGAGAGCAGTGCAGAGGGAGAGAGAGAGAGAAGGCAGTTTTACCCAGAGTTTTACAGAGGCAGGTTGAACAGAGAACAAGCTACGCACAGGTAAAGACAAAATGAGCCAGAAAATGAGAATGAGCCAGAAGATTAGAACAGATTGCTAGAGTTAGTTTGAGGCCAAACAGATCAATTCAATCAGAAGTAGAGAGAAACTAGTTTAAATCAGTCAGCTTGGGGAGAAGTTTGAGCCAGAACAGTTGGGTTGAACCACCCAGCTAGAGTTCAGAAAGAGCTATAAAGGTGAGCTTATTCAACAGTGAGTCTCAGAGGCTGAAAACATTCTAGGCCTAGGTTAGATTTTAGGGAGGCTAGACGCTTTCAGGACTAAGCCTAGGTTAGCAGATGGAGGCAGTAAGTTTCAGAAATGACATCAGGCAAATAAAGGTTACTTTTATACCACACCAGTTTTACCCTAGAGATTCACTTAAGCAGTATATGATTGGTCTCTTACTTCAAACTTGGGGGAGAGGAGAGAAGCACACACCAACTGGATTCTGACACACCACCATGTGTGTCATCAGGGCCCTGATGGAGTCACTCATAAAACAGTATATGTGAACGAGGGTGAATGTTCAATTTTCTAGGTCTGTTCTGTAAGGTTTAGGAATTTCTGTCCTCTCTGCCTGTTTCGAATGGAACCTAGACCTAATCTGCTAAGCCAGGACCACACTGAACCCCATTCCGGGGCCCCTCTAGATCTTTGTTACAGGATATTTGATTATTATACATAGAAAACCTAATTGTTAAATATGAAAGCCTAAAGAGATGTCAGATGCAGTTGGGTGTGTCCTGGAGAGATGCATGTACCTCTAAAAGCCTCCATAGCTAAGAATGCGAAAGAATGGAAAGTTCTTGCTTATTTTAAGGCAAGTTGCTTGAGAGAGATGTTGTCGTCTTTGCTCTATGACCAGAGGCTAAGTCATGGGAGGGAGGGATCGAGCTACCCCACCATAAAGGTGAAATGGTTGGACCGCTACTGACTTGGCTTGGAGCCTCCCCACCACGACAGTGGCATGGTTCAGCCTGTCAAAGGTGTAGGGGAGGAGCTAGAGACTTCTTTTATAGTAATTGGGAGCTATGAGAGCTCTCCTCTTTTGGCTTGGAAGACCCTTTATGGAAGGAGTGACAAGTAAGAGATAGAGATCTTCTCTTTGGGCTTGTAGGAACAACAGAGAAGCAGCTAGAAGGACACAGGTAAAGCAGTATTCTAGGAAAGAGAGCTAGGGAGCATTCATGGGTGTTGAGCTCTTTCTTAAACTCTTCTTTATTTGGGATTTCTTAAAGCCTCTCCCTTCCAACCCCCCCAACCCTAGATAGGAGAAAGAAGGTTAGTGGGACAAGGGACACAGAGCCCTTTACTTCTCCTGGCTGTTTAGGGTCGTTGGGTTCTTTTAAGGCTATACCAGTTTTCTGTCAACAGCAAAAGCAGCCAGCAGTTTCTTCCATCTCACTCCTCCAAGCCGCTGTGCCATGAAGAGTCTCTGGTCTCTCCAAACTGCCACTCGCCACACACCATACTTCCTCTCAGGGCTCTCCTATTTATACCCCTCTTAGTCCTAGACCACACCCCTCTCCTTGTAGCATGATGTAGGCAGGCCATTACCAGCTGGCAAAGACCCTACCCCGAAGGAGGCAATTATCAGCTGTGGACAAACTAAAGCCCACAGTAAAATCCCACACTTGAATTAAACAAAAATGTATGTATATAACATAACTGAGTTTTTAAAAAAACCCAGACTTCCATTACACATGGGTTTGGAGGAGCTCAAGAGAAAGGTAGAATAGCTCGGAAAAAGGACACAGAATTCTAAATTCTAAAGAGCCCTCAGTTTAGTTGTAGAATCAGGCTTGCAAATAAAAATTTTGTATATAATTAAGAAAATAAAATTACCTCGCTGAGCCAGCAGGTTTTTGCCTCAATTTACACCTCTCGTGTCTTTATTGGTATAAACAGTAGATAATTTAAAGTGATAAATATTACAGATCCTATTCTCTTTTTACGTCTTCTGAGACCACTCTGAAGCCCAATTGTCTCATTATGTCTCAGACACACAAAACCAGCTAAAACTGAAATCAACTGGAGTACCAAGCATGTGTAAGTTCTAAAGGTCAAATCCCCACTCTGCCACTCAGCAGCTTTGTGAGTCACCACTCTAATAAGCTGCCTCCCTCTTACACAGTTCTGTACATGCAAAAAGGGAACGGCAGGGGCAAGAGAGATGGCTCAGTGATTAAGAGCACTGGCAGGGGCTTGGTTAAGAGCTTGGTTCTCAGCATCCACATCTGGCACTGCAAACCCACCTGGAACTCCAGAGCCAGAGGGTCTGATGTCCACTCTGGCTGCTATAGGCACCAGGCATGTACATAAAGAATACATATACATTCAAGCACTCACATATTCATATATACAAGAAAGAAATCTTTTTAAGGGATTGAAAAAAAAAGTCTAAATAAGCTCATTGCAATCAGTGCAGGGATTAAATGATCTAATGTCACTCACACAGACAGAGCTGACCTGTGGATAACTAACAGAGAAGAACCAGGAACTGTCACCATTTTTATGACATTCTAGTCGGTCAGCAGGCATATACTGTTAGGAAGTAAGTCTGTCCTAGGCACTAGAGAAATTCTTGTACCAAAAAATAAATAAAGAAAGAGAGGAACTTGGAAGAGGAGGAGGAAGAGGCAATCCCCATGCTTTTCTGAACCCAAGGATCAGCACTGAGAAGGAAGACAAGGAAGCAAGAAGACAAAGCATTTGGATGACTTGAGGCCCTAAGAAGCAGGAGGCTGTACCTGAAGGCAAAGGG